TCCTGCAGGGCCAGTTTCTTATGCTTTTTTCTTTCTCTTTTTGTCTCTGTCTCTGTCTCTGTCTCTCTCTCCCTCCCCTCCCTGCCCCACCCATGGGGCCTCCTCCTTTCACCCGGCTGGTGGGCTGCCCACCCCGGGCAGGGAAGGCCGGATGGTGGTGCTATCCTTGGTCTTAGGGCTTTCGGAGCAGGATGACTTTGCCAATATCCCTGACCTGCAAAACCCAGGAACCCAGCAGAACCAGAACGCTCAGGGGGACAAGAGGTACGAGCTCAGGCGAGGGCCCGCGGCGGCGGCAGAGAAGGAGGTGCGGAGAGGCCGCCTGCCTCGACTGGCCCGGTTGCTGGACCAGGCAGAGGTGCCTTCCATGGATGCTGGAGCGGGAGGACTGCCCCTCCCCAGCCAGTGCCCTCACGCACAGCCACCCTGGTGGTGTCCTTTGGGTCTGAGGCCAGGGCGGCCGTCCTGGGACCATTCTGGATCAAGCCTGCTCCCCGGGCATGCTTGCCCTCGCCCGGAGCAAGCCCGCCTTCCTGCCCCATCCTCCTGCTTGGCTCCCCCCTGCTGCCCCCTCATCTTTCATCTCTGCCCCTACCCAGAAATCCCAGTTTCTCCGGTGGTTGGTGGGCGGGGGGGATGTCAGGGGAGGGGCACCTGCCCATTCTCCCTCATCCCCGCCACCTCAACCTCCCTCTTGCCTGGAGGTCCTGCTGGGGGTGACGGTCACACACCTCACTGCAGAGGTGTGACTGGCTACTCCGCTGATGGAAGATGATTCCCTGGTGGGGAGTGTCTGGGGCAGGGGAGAGGCCTGGTGACCAGAAAGAACCAGAAAGGCAGCCCCTGAGCCTGAGGTACCAAGAGGAGGGAACAGAGTGAAGGGCCGAGAGCAACCTGTCACCAGGAGCCCTGCTACTGTCCCTCAGGGCCCTGTGGGGACCAGGAATAGCCCATGGCCACAGCACAGGCTGAGCAGAGAGCTGGGCATTTAACTGTCCACAGCCTCGGACATCAGGCTCCCAGGGAAGCATCTCCTGATGCCCCCATCTCAGAGGGGGACATAGAGCACTGGTGGGGCAGGGGACAGGGAAGGGCTAGAGGTCCCGGGGCTCCAGCAGCATCACAAAGGCAGGAGGGTCTTGCACCTGATTTGGCTGCCTCCTCTCACCTGGCCTTGGGCTGGGCCTGCCACACGCCTGTGTTCGTGGGAGGAGGGCTCATCCCTGGTCAGGTCTGCTCGTGAGACCAAAGCCCTACACTGCAGGATAGTGTGGGGCCCGGCAGCCAGGACGGCTGCCTTCCAGCTCTGGTTCAACCTCGGGCATGTCACAGCCCCTGCTGGGCCCATTTCCTTGTTTGTCAAATGAAGGATTGGACAGGGTGACCCCTTCCAGCTCTGACATGCTAAGCCTCTAATGAGGGAACAGGCCCTCAGGCTGGGACCACTGTCATATGCTATCAGCCAGGCAGGGACCCCAGTGCTTGCTCATTAAGAGGCCCTTAAGTACCAGAAGGGACTGTCCCAAGCTGCTGCCAGGGGCCTGTGGGTTAGGGAAGGATAGGCGGAGTTAGCTGATTTGCCTGTCCCTGCAGCGGCTTCTGGAGACCAGCCCTCTCATCTTCTTTTCCAAGGCCACAGTTGCATGTCTGTGGTGGGCACAGCTGGAAGTCCCTGCAGAGTGGGAGGGGAGAGCGGGACCAGTTCTTCCACTCAGTGACACAGATGGTGTCACACACCCTGAGCCCAAGTTCTGGGGTACGGGAGGAACAGAGCCTGCCGCCTCCAGCTCACCTGGAGCTATAGGAGTCAGGCTTCCTGGGCTGGGGCCGCAGAGTTGGGCCATGGGCAGACCAGAGGGCCGCAGGGAGAGGGCCGTGGGCTGCAGGAGGGGCTGGAGCCCTACGGAAAGCCTCCTAAGCACCCAAGCCCTTTGCCTGAAAAGGTGTGAAGCGTGAGGGAGTGGATGCAGGCTGGAAACGAGATTTCACGTCACCCATGTGTTAATTAACTGGCTCCATTTTCACCCACTGCCTATTTTTACCTCTTTGCCACTCAGGTCTCACTCCATATTTTAACACACCCATCCCTTCTGATCCTTACATCAACTGTCCCCTGCCTTCCTGGGAAAAGTGGGTATGGAAGTGGGGGCCATGACCCTCACCCAGACCTGGCCTGTTTCCGAGTACACTCATGCCATTCCCGCCTGGCCACATCCACTCCATCCTGGACACTCATTTCTCATGGCCTCTGGGGTGTTTACAAGGGTGTCCAGAATCCACTTCCTTCCCAGCACTCTCCCCACCCCAAGGTTGGCATTGGCACCACCCACTGGGCACCAGACACCTTAGGGCTCCACCCCTCTGGGCTCCTGGCTCCTTGGACCTTGGAATGGAAGGCTTAGGTCAACTGTCCCTTCCTCTTCAGCTTCTGCCTCCAGCCCCAGCCCCACCTTTTCCTCCCTGTGTCTGGGGTAAAAGGTGGGAGGCCCTTGGCTGTTGTTGGGGACATTCAGCCCCCAGGGCCTGTTAGCACCTGGGAGACAGGAGGACCCTGGGAGGAGGAGCTGCCACTCCAGGTCCCAAGAGAGATGGGGGTGCATTTAGCAAGGAACTCCAAGACGGAAGGGTTGGTCACTGCCTCTACTCCCAGGATTCTTGGTGGCTGGGAAACCCCCACCCAGGATCCCCCAGCCCCTGGGCCTCAGCACAGTGGGCCCCAAGAACTTCAGTATGCTCTTGGGCCCAAGAGGAAGGCCCTGGCTCCCACGCCCTGCATTCCACCTTCACCCATCGGCCCTGCACCCATCCCCACCTCATGCTCTCAGCCATCCCCTTCGCCACTGCTTCTTGGGATCCAAATGGTTTCCACCATGGCCCCACCTCCACCTGTGTGGGGCACGGGACAGGGCCAGGACCCGACCACCCCCATCACCCTCCTTGCCCCAAAGCCACCATGTTTCTCCTGTCGCAATGTGTGTCCCCCACCTCCTCTCTGCCTCTCCTCTCGGCCGCCTCGCTCCTCTTTGTCCCCTGTGCACCCTGCAGCCTTCACTCGTCTCCAACTAACCTTTCTTGGCCTCTCTCCCCTCCTTCCTCCCATCTGCTCCTCACAGGGATGTCCCTGGGCCAGTGACGGGCCCCTCCGCCTCTCCCTCTGCTCTCTGTGCACCTGTCTCTGTCCTGTAACCTCCAACAGCTTCAGTGGCGCTGACCATCTTTTCCCAGGCTGCTTGGCAGCTATGCTGATGCTGTGGTGTGGCCAGAATAACTGACTTTCTCATACCTTCAGCAGTCAAGCTCCGCTCTCTCCTCCTCTCCCCTCTATTTTTAACCTGACTTTACCTCTCCAGCTATTTCAGTCTCCTCTTCCTCCCCGTGCCTGCCTGCGTGAGCACGTGTCCACACGTGTGTCCGTGTGTGCGTCCACGCATGTGTGTTCCTGTGTGTGCACGCGCGTGTGCGTGCCGCTGTGGCCACGCCCCTGGGAGGGGCGCCCTCGTGTCCCCGGGGTGAGTGGGGGTGTTTCCGTGTTGGCTGAGCGAGGCCAGGTTCTCACGGCAGCTCCGCCTGAGGCTGCTCCCCGCCCTCTGGTTCAGTCTGTCCCAGTTCCGCATACCTTGGCATGCCTGGGTCGCCCCAAATGCGTTTCCTCTCAGGAGCGAAGTGTGTGCATCCCTGTATGTGTGTCATCTCGCTGCTCTGGTCGACCTGCCTGTCGCCTGTGCCATTCTCTCCCTGTCCCCCTGGGTGTCCTTTGGGCTTATGTGCACGTGTGTGTGTGTGCTCGTGTGCGTGTGCGTGTGTGCGTGTGTGTGTGTGTGTGTGTGCGTGTGCGCGCGCATACCCTGCTCTCGGGTCCTGGTGTCTCCCCTCCAGGACCTGGCATATTCCGTGCATGTCTCTGTGCCTGTCGTGGCCAATTGTGTGCTGGTGGCTGGTCCATACCAAGGGCCGTGGCTTGTGTCCAGCCTGTGTGGTCCTCACGTCTGGCTCTGGTACTCTCAAAGCTGTTCTATCGTAGCCTGTCCCGAGCCCCATGCTGCCAGTCTCCCCATTTCCTCCATGCTGCCTGCCCCCACCTCTCCTCCTCATGGGATGTTCCAGCTGGTCCCTGGAGGCCTTTAGTCCCCCTTCTTGAGCCCCAGCTAGAGGGAGCCCGGCCTCACCACCCAGGCACTGGGCGGAGAGCAGGTTCCCTGGAAACAGCATGGAGTTGGAGTGCAGACAGGGCCTCTCGTGGACTGGTCAGATCCGGGGCTTCTTGGTGGTACCCCACCTTTCTCTGACCCTGGGGGAGCCTTCTCAAATGTGTAGTCCTCAGAGCAAGGGGTAACGACTTGCCCTATCCAATAGATGGCTATTTAAATGAATTTAAGTTAAAAAATTAAATATTCAGTCTCAGTCACACCGGCCACATTTCACATGCCCAGTGACCACACCGGGACAGCACGAGCACACTTGTCATCATAGAAAGCTCCACTGGACGGAAGTGTGGACAGTGGTCCTGACCTCACCTGGTCAGTCTCGTGTCTGAAGGGCACCTGTGTTCTCGCAGAGCCTGAACAAACACAGGTGGGGCTCCAGAAGATAGCACTCTGGGCGTGTTTGCAGAGGTTAATGATGCGGAGAGGTGACCTGGACACGCCACCTCCCCTCCCAGGCTGGGGCGAGCAGGGATGCGGGCACTCTGGGGAGGGAGTCAAGCTCAGGGATCACCATGCAAGCATTGACTGGAGGGGGGGGTGGTTTCTGGGAAACAGGTAGTGTGGGAGTACCCCCAAAACAGCACCCACAGGGACAGTCAAGGCAGACCACACTGGAGATGGTGCAGGGGTGGGAAGCAGGCCTCCCGGTGGACAAGAGCACAGTTCTTACTGGCCTGCAGGAGGTGGCAGCTGCTTGGGTCTCAAGAGAAAGGCCTGCTGCCACCCAGACCCATGGTGCCCAGCCCAACCCCACCCACCTCCAGGCATGCTCATTCGAACTCCCCCGGCCCCCAGGTTGCCTGCAGGAGGGAAGGCAGTGAACACAGCTCCAGTGCCCAGCCAGACGCCTCACGATGAGTCTGACCGTCGGACCGAGCCACGCTCCTCTGTCTCGGACCTCGTCAACTCCCTCACCAGCGAGATGCTCATGGTGAGAAGGGCGGAGGCCTGGGGCCCACGCAGGAGCTGGGCTAGGAGGCCCGGGGCAGGGGAGGGCCGTGTGTGGGGATTGGTGACAGTGTGGGAGTTGCCCACTCAGTCAGGGGAACCAGCATAGTGACCAGCTCTTTCATCACAACGCCTCTCATGCCTCAGTTTCCTCATTTGTCAAGTGAGAATAAGAATTCTCATCCTCCAGTCTCTTTCTGGGTTGAACAGGGGCCTAAGGAAACCTACTCCTGTGAGATATTTTTATGGTCCTAGAAGGAAAGGCTAGTGGACAGGGGACTTGGGACAGAAGGTATCCCCTTTCTCTGAGTGGCATCCCATTGAGTAGAGGTCTGAGGCAGAGCTCCCAGTGGAGTAGGTCTCATCCCATCCCAGAGAACTTCCCCAGCCCCCATTGCTGGGGGGCCAGCTGAGGTCCAATGAGGACAAGAGAGCAGGAACTGCCCTGCTCCTGCTAGGGGACAGCTGTGCTGGGGTTCTGTATACAGCCTACCCAGCTGGATCCAGGCCTTGTGGCTCAGGGGCGGGATTTTTTTCCACCAAGGCAGAGACTGTGGCTTCACAGAGCACCCCCTGGTGGCAGCATCTGTGAGTCAGAGTTATTTGCCCCACCTATGCTTTCCAAAGGCCGGAGAGTTTCAGGCAGGAGTCAGTCCAAACTTTGGCAGCTCAGAAGCCCCAGGAAGGCTTGGGGAGGGTGTGAGGGTGGGAGCCCAGTGCCAGCTGTGTTCCTACTGCACATGACCTGGGACGAGTCACTTCTCTTCCTTCGACTAGGTCTCCCTCCCCCTCCTCCCATAGAGAGAAGGAAGGGTCTCGGTGGGCTCTCAGGCCCTCGCCAGTGCTGACATCACCCAATTCAGATTTCCCTACCCACTGCCTTGGCACGGAAGCCCCCACCCTCCCTGAGGCCCCCAGAGCCCCTAGGCCCCACCCTTTGCCATTTACCGTTCAGGCCGCCTCTAACTATCATCCCCACTGCCCTTTTCTAGCCCATCCCAGAGATCTTGTTCAAATGCAGATCCCCCAATCAGCAGGCCTGAGGTGGGCCTAAGAGTCTACCTATCTCTTGGGTACAGATTAGAGCATCCGATTTTCCCTGTTCTAGATCTGGTCACCCCTGGGCCTCCTCACCTTTCCCCTTTGCCCTACCCTCTAGGCCCTTGCATGCCTGGCTCTCCACTGCCCTCCTGTCCACTCNAATCAGCAGGCCTGAGGTGGGCTTAAGTCTACCTATCTCTTGGGTACAGATTAGAGCATCCGATTTTCCCTGTTCTAGATCTGGTCACCCCTGGGCCTCCTCACCTTTCCCCTTTGCCCTACCCTCTAGGCCCTTGCATGCCTGGCTCTCCACTGCCCTCCTGTCCACTCCACCCCCCCCACTCATGTAGATGGCCCTCATTTCCTCTGGACAGGCCTTCACCGCCCAGCCTGTCTCCCTCCCTGTACAGCCTCTTAATTGGTTACAGCTTCCCAGTAGCCAGGTTCCCAGAAGGGACAGCCCTTTCCCAGCCAGCCTGCCTGCCCCTTGCTGCTCCCAGAGAGGGGCGGACAGCCACGGGCAGAGGAGGGAAGTGTAAGCCTCCTGCCCTCACACTGGCCCAGCAGACCCTCAGGTGGCAGGCAGGCCCTAATTGCCCAGCCCTGGGCCAAAGGCAGATCATTAGCGTCAATGATGATGAAGACAAGCAGGGCAGAAGTAAACTGTTGTCTGATTGCCTGGCCCCAGGCTGTCAGAAGCTGGGGGTCAGGAGGAGTGAGGCACCCACAGCTGGCCAGAGGAAGGGTCAGAGAGGAGGCTGGGCCACACCCCCATCTGAGTCACCCCGTCCTAGCACTGCCCAAATTCATGTCTTAAAGATTATTGATTGATTCGAGAGAAAGGGAGATATAGAAACATCACTTTGTTCCAATTATTGATGCATTCATCGGTTGATTCTTATATGTGCCCTGAGTGGGAATCTAACCCACAACTTTGGCCTATCAGGCCTATGCTTTAACCAACTGAGCTACTCGGCCAGGGTCCAAATGCTTTTTGATGCTTCTGCTTGAGCAGGGGCTCAGGCAGCACCTCCCTGGGGGCGTGGTGGGGGTGGCCAGCTTGGTTGCCATGGAAACAGCTCCTGGAGCTGTCCCAGCTGGTTAATTAGGGCTCAAGGCTGTGGTTCTGGAAGGCTGGGAGCTGGTACAAAACAACTGCCTGCTTCCGTGGTGAAGCCCCCCACCCCCCTTGTTTGGGAGCCAAGAGCCCAGTGACCAGAGGACCTCAGGTGGAGCTGGGGCCATCTGGTCTCCAGTCACTGGGGCTCCACCTCAACTTCTGGAGGAATAGGAAGGGGCGAGAGGTCTTTGCAGGCCCCAGGACAGCAGTGGCAGGGGCCAGACTGTAGAGCAGGACTATGGAAGGGACCTGAACCCATTTAACCCTCCCAGGAACCCCGCAAGCTAGGTCCTACGGTCCCATTCTGCAGATGCAGAAACTGAGGTTCAGAGGGAGTGCGCTGGTATGAGGAGAGGGAAGGAGTACCAGGGGGAACTGGATCTGTGTAGGGAAGCCACACTCTCAGGTAACCTTCAGGGGAGCTCGCAGGGTTGCCTGGATCTGGCGAGGTGGCAGGGACTGGAGGGACCCTCTTCCGCTGTGAGGAAGAGTAGGGGAGGCAGCTCAGCCCCCTTCCAGCTCCAGGCAGGACCAGGGTGTGGATGGTGAAGCCCAGACACTGGGTTTGAGTGTGAGAGTGAGGGCAGCTGGAAGGGCACTCGTGGTGGCTGGCACTGACCTGGGTTTGAGCTTCTGTCACCACTAGGTGGCTTGATGCCAGTTAGTAATGTATCTGTGCCCAAAACCAAACTAGTATACAGCTGTGCCTCCGCCTCGGGCTGCTGCAGGAAGTGTAAGGGCCAAGCACCCGGCACAGGGCAGGGCCAGGTGCGTGGCAGTTACTATTATTTGTGTGACTTGGATGCTTCTCACCTGGGGCAGGTGAGTCCTTACTGGCTTGGGGGGAAGTCTCAACCCCGCCCTGGGATGTGGGCTTTCAAGTCAGAGAGCGTTCATATTGCTGTGCAGTCTTGGGCGTGTGACTTAACCTCTCTGAGCCAGTCTCCTCAGCTAGAGTGGTGATAACTGCCTCGCCCGCTGTTGTCAGGAATCAGTCAGAAGGTGATGTAAGAGTCTTCTGCCATGGTAGGTGCACACTATACATATTCTTATCACCTATATTATTTAGTATTTCAGAGCTTGGGGCCACCTCTCCAGGAGGAAAGGGGGCCACAGAGAAGGCTCCTGTGGGGAAAGTGGGGAGAGAAAATGGGCCAGCACTTGCATCTTAAAGTGGTGCCCTGAGCCCACCCCTGGCTCTCATCCAATCACCTGAAGAGCTTTTGGCACAGGGATGCCTGGGCCACGTGGACCCCCTGGGTTTGGGGTGGGGCCCAGGTGGCTGGGGGTGGGCAGTATTCTAAAACCTCCCCAGATATTCCTAATGAGCAGCCACCACTGAGACGACTTGGCTGGGAGACCCTCCCCCCAATTCCTTCCTATTTCAATGTCAGCCTGGGAATGGGACACCCAATGCCACCCTTGAGGGGTGGGGACTGAATCGGGTATAGTCTTCCCTTCCAGTGGTCCTCAGCCTGGCGTGCAGTACTGTCATCTGAAGCTCCTTTAAACTCTGCTGCCCACCCCGAGGTCCCCCCAACCCCATCACATCAGGCTCCCAGAGCCCCGGGCCTGGGAGTCTGTGTCTTTAGTGTCTCTGCCTTACACAAATAGATGTTGCTCGTGAAAACTCACCTCTCATTTGTAAATCACACCATCCTCAGAACTCCAGCCACTTTCCAAAGAAATATCACAGTACGCTCTTTTGAGATGTGAACAGTCTCCCTCATCTGTTTGGGAGCCCAGGTTTTTAGGTTGGTGTATTTCACAAAATACACAAAAATGCCCTGCAGGGCTGTGGGAGGGTGGGAAGCTAGAGGAGGGAGCTTGGGAGCCCAGGGCGAGCCAGCACAGCGGTGACCAGGGGAGGCGAGGGCAGCAGACCCTGGGCATCCGGGAGAGGCTGGGGAATGGGGTGCACACTGCCCTGGGGTTCAGACGACAGGAGCTGAACCAGCTCTGCCCTGGTCCCTGCCTCCCTGTGTGAGCCTGTGCAAGGGGCCTGCCCTCTGCCTGAGCATCTTCACCTGGGCGTGAATGTGGGCTGGGCCCCAGGCGCCACACAGCAACCAGAGGGACAATGCAGCTCCCAGCGGCCGGACTGGCCTTGGGCACAGAGAGGCTGCAGGGGGGCTTCGGGAAGCAGAATGCTCCCCAACCCTGCTGGCCTCTCCCCGCCCCAGCTCTCCCCAGGCTCAGAGGAGGACGAGGCCCACGAGGGCTGCAGCCGAGAGAACCTGGGCCGGATCCAGTTCAGCGTCGGCTACAACTTCCAGGAGTCCACGCTCACTGTGAAGATCATGAAGGCCCAGGAGCTGCCGGCCAAGGACTTCAGCGGCACCAGCGACCCCTTTGTCAAGATCTACCTGCTGCCAGACAAGAAGCACAAGCTGGAGACCAAGGTGAAGAGGAAGAACCTGAACCCCCACTGGAACGAGACCTTCCTCTTCGAAGGTGAGGCTGGTGCCGCCCCCACCCACCCAGAGTCTCTCTTCCCCTCCACGATTGCCACACGCCTGTGCCACATGACCACAGGCACACGTGCACTTACACGTGCCCACACAGCACACGTCTTGCCCAGTTAACCCGCTGCATTTTGTGTCTAGCTGGCGTTAGGTTATAGCACTGAGCGGAGCCTGCGTCACAGCCAGAGGCTTAGAGGAAAGCTGGGCCTTCAGCTCAAACACAGAACTTATCCTGAGGAGGGCAGGAAGGAAGGGAAGCGCCCACAGGATCCAGAGGTGGAGCATCTGGAGCAACCACAGTGTAGTGGTTAAGAGCACAGGTTATGGCCCAGGCTTCCTGAGTTTGAATCCCAGCTCTGCCACTTACTATCTCTGTGACCTGGGGCAAGTCTGAGTCTCTCAGTGCCTTGGTTTCAAATCAGTAAATCAGCACATTGTAAAAGCACTTACAATGGTGCCCTCCGGGAGCAATGGCTCTGAACCATGCCCCTGCTGGGACAAACGTCCTTCCTCTCTCCTGCAGGCCTTTCTTTATCTTTTATATCTGAGGATTCATGGTAACCAGGAAGCTGGCATGTGATCAGGGAGTGATTTCTGTCCCAGTAATCTGGGATATGCCCAGACCCCAGTTAGAGAAGCCATAACCCTTTCCCAACAGCCCTGTTCAGCCAGTGAGAACAACTCCTGGTGCCCAGGCTCTCCAGAACCTCCAGTGTGTGCCCTAGGGACTATCTTCCATCTGGTGTCCCAGTCATCTGGCACACTACCCCTTCTGCAAGGCAGCAGCCAGCTCACCTACTAAATAAATCATTGAGAGTGAGCTAATGGGTGCTCCTGTGTTTCTGGACCCTCCTCCTCCCCAGGTCAATGTAGGGGTCAGAAATGGCACAACCAACAAGAGCCTCAGCCATCTGGAGATGTATGGAGCCAGTTAGTGGGACAAGGTTTATGGGCAGAGCCCCAATCCACTGGTCCCTTCTGCAAATATTCACCCAGCAGTAACTGAACCGGCACTTTCCTGGGTACTGGGGGTGCAGAGCAAAATTATGGCCCTCAAGGCATTCCTGGTCTAATGGAGGACAGATGTGTAAATAATTGTGCCACACACTGCATGACAGGTGCCACAGGAACCCAGTATAAGCTCCCCTTCATGGTGATGAAGAACATTTTCCAGGAGAAGGGCTATTCAAGATGGGTTGTGATGGATGAATAGGAGTTTGCCAAATAACAGACTGTCTTCCCTGGTGTTGAAGGGAGCTAACTCAGGTGCAAGGATCTCTTGGAACCTCCACCATTTCCAGAACACTTGTCAAGCATTTCACCTGAAGAGATGCCAAGGGTCACCTGGACAGGGACCCTGGCATACTCCAAGATGTGCCAGACAGATATAGACCCCTCAATATGAGGAAGGGGCCCTGGAGGGATTCAGAGGCTGGAGGTTCAAGGAACATAGGATTTCGTCTTGTGGTGCACCTGCTCCTGTCAGAGGCTTCTCTGTGCTTCTGGTGTCTGTGGCTGAAGGCACTAGAGCCCTGCAGAGCACCTCATCTTCTCCATCAGTCAGGCTAAGGTCCTCACTCCTTCCTGTTCATACCCTGGTTGAGGATCTGATCTCCAGCCTGCAGGCTGGTCTGCAACCCCTGCACCTCCCAGGCTGTCCCCTCCTCCAACTAAGCCTCCCAGGGTCCAATGACTGCAGCTTCAGACCTTCCCCTGGCTTCCTAGTACCTTTTCCATCCCATCCAAGTTTCTTCCCCCGCTCTCCCTCCAGCCTCAGCTCCCTCTCCACTCCGCACACTCCTGCTGCTCCATCGGGCCATTTCACTGGCACTTATGCGCTTGTTCAATTATTGATTCACTTAACAAATATTTATCGAGTGCCTACTACGTGCCAGAAACAGTGTTAGATGCTGGGACCTGGTGGTATTGGACGGAGATGCCTTCCTGGAAATTCTAGCCTAGTGAGAGTCAGACTCAAGGAAGCAGACATGAGTCTCTATTACAGCCTGTGATGAGCTGAAAAAGGAAAGTGCTAGAGTGTAGAACAGGGAACCTGACCCCATCTGGGATGTCAGCAAAGAAAGCAGAGCCAGGTGGGTGTGGTGGGGACCAGCTTGGGCCTCCAGGGCAGGAAAGGCGGGGAAGGAAGCTGGCCTGGCTGGAGCCCAGACATTGCGTGAAAAGTGGTCACCAGACCAGCAGGGAAAGGACAGCAGGCCAAGCTGTGGAAGGATTCGAAGCCAAGGCAGGGCTCATGGCTTTTATTCTAAGTGCACTGGGAGCCTCTGAAAGGCTTTAAGCAAGAGTATTATGATGTGATTCTATTTTTAAAAGCTCACTCTGGCCGTGGTTGAGAATGGATTGGAGAAGGCAAGCAAATGGGGAGGGTGGTTTGGAGACTCTTGTGACTGTCCAGGCAAGAGGTGCCGGTGGCTTGGATGAGGGAGGTGACAGCAGAGAAGGGGACAGCTGTGGGATCTGTTGAGGGAGGTCGGAAGAATGGGCTGATGCATTGGAAGGAGGCAAAGGGGAAATGTGGAGTCCTAGAATATGTGTTCACTCCGACTTCTGTGTCGCTGCCATTTCCCTCTGCCAGGTCCTCCTGGGACTTCCTGTCTGGCAGCGTGATCATCTCAGGCAGGGCCGCTTGCCCAGACTTGCCTCAGGACAATTGGTGGTGGCAGGGCTGCCCAGAGAACAAGGGGACCACAGCTCGGTCACCGAGATGGGTACCTGATGAATGAGTGAACGAATGAATGGTCCCAGTTCTGCTCTGTATGAGCTGTGGGACTTTGGGCAAGTGATTTAAGCCATCTGAGCCTCTGTCTCCTCGTCTGTAAAAAGGACAAGACCATCCACCTTGGAGAACTGTCTCTGGAAACAGATAAGACAACGACAGTTCTCGCTGAGGCTTCAGGAAGGTCTGAATGCAGGTGTGGCCTGCTGTGCCTCGGTGGGGTGGCAGCAGGAAGGGACAGGGCCATCCCTGCTCACCAGCCTTCCTGCCCAGGAGCCTCGCCCTGCCCAGGCCCCGTGTGCCCCCTCTGCCCCACTCTTCACCTGCGCTGTCTGTCCCCAGGTTTCCCCTACGAGAAGGTGGTGCAGAGGGTCCTCTACCTCCAAGTCCTGGACTATGACCGCTTCAGCCGCAACGACCCCATTGGGGAGGTGTCCATCCCCCTCAACAAGGTGGACCTGACCCAGATGCAGACCTTCTGGAAGGATCTGAAGCCATGCAGCGATGGGAGTGTAAGTCCCGGGCCATGGGCCCCTGGCTGGGGGCTGGCGGGTCAGGGCTGAGATCCAGGCCTAATGCCCCTCAGTCTTAGGAAGGTCAGGAGTGCTGTGGGGAAAGGGTGCAGGTGGGTGGCTTCAGTGGGGCCGAATGCCCACTGGTGGTCTCAGCACTGGGGGGACTCACTTGAGCTATGATAAAAAACCTGGGGCTCTGTTCAAGGAGGGGGACATGGTGGGCAGTGCACAGGCCTGCCAACCGAAGGGAGACCAAGCATGACCGAGGTGACAGAGCAGGGAGTAAGCACCCAGATCGGTGGAGGGAACCTGGGGCTGTGGGGTCAGCCAGAGCTCAACAATCATCCCCTCCCCCTAGTCCCCATGCCCCTCCTGTTCTCCCTGTTCGGGGAGCTGAGGGAAGTGGCTCCCACAGCCCAGCCTCACACTTCCCCTTGTCCCTCCCAGGGGAGCCGAGGGGAGCTGCTCTTGTCTCTCTGCTACAACCCCTCTGCCAACTCCATCATCGTGAACATCATCAAAGCCCGGAACCTCAAAGCCATGGACATCGGGGGCACATCAGGTTCTGGGGCTTCTTGAGGCACAGGGCGGATGGGTCGGGGAGTTTCTGGGGACACAGGGGTCATGCTGGGTGTAGATGGCAGGGCCCATGCTGTTCCCATCAGCCCCGACTCCCACACCCCACCTCCAGTCTCAACTCTTCTATCCTGGAGTCCTGGGTGGCCCTCTTTGGAGCAGCCTGTGGGTCAGCGTCGTCTTAGACTGTGTCCCCAGCTCCAACACTACTTGTCTGGGACCTAGGGTGAGACCTGGCCTCTCTGGGGCTTGGTGTCCCCATTCGTGTTCTCAGGAGTACATCCATGATGGCTGAGGTCCCTTCCAGCTTTTCTACCCCGTGACTTCCCCCAAGCCCTCTTGTTTGGTGCTTTCCTGACCCTCTGCAGAGGGCCCCCCACCCCAGCTCCCACCCACTGCCCCTCTGACCCGTCCCCTCGTTCCTAGACCCCTACGTGAAGGTGTGGCTGATGTACAAGGACAAGCGGGTGGAGAAAAAGAAGACGGTGACCATGAAAAGGAACCTGAACCCCATCTTCAACGAGTCCTTTGCCTTCGATATCCCCACGGAGAAGCTGAGGGAGACGACCATCATCATCACTGTCATGGACAAGGACAGGCTCAGCCGTAATGACGTCATTGGCAAGGTAGGGGCGGGGCAGGTGGCTGGCACACCAGCTAGCACCCGGCAAGGGTCTGTCCTTGGGAGCAGCAGGAGGGGTGGTGGGTGACACAGGGCTGGACAGCAGGAGAGAGAGGGTCAGTCCCGTCCCTTCTCTGAACCTCTGAAAATGAGGGGATTGGACGGATTTTCCCTACGTGTTGTCCCATGGACCAGTCAGCTGAGGACAGATTGCTGGAAAGGCAGAGGGAGGAAGAATTGCCCAGGACCCCCAAAAGACCTTCAGGATAAGGACCTCAGAAAAATGTCACCCAGGGTCCTATCTGCAGAGCTGTGTGGGGCAGTGTTGAAAGCTGCGGTCTGACTCTAAAAACCTGGCTTCACTTCCCACCTCATCTGCTGCTAAATGGCTGTGTGACCTTGGACAAGTCACTTGCCTCCCTGAGCTTCAGTGCTCTCGTTTGTAAAATGGAGCTACTAATACGGGCCCTACAGCACTTCACAGGATGGTGTAAGAATGGCCTGAGATATGCAGATGTTTTCCTTGTAAAACACGACCTCTCCTCATCATATAATAGCCAAAAACTCCATGCCTGGCCATGAGTTTTTCCAGGATGTACTTCTGTGACATACACCCTTCCATTTTTCTACTTTGAAACAGCTGTTCCTGTGTTTCTTTATGGTTTAGTTTTAACAGTATGGGCTTGGGAGTCAGACTGCCTGGGTCCAGATCCCAGCCCTAACTCTCAAGAGTCATGACCTTTCTGAGCCTCATTTCCTCCTCTTAAAACAAGTAAGACAGTCCCAACCTCACAATGTGCAGGGATGATTCAGCAACAGGTGAGATGCTTAGCACGGTACTTGGAACATGTCTATTAGCTACTATTATAATAAAAGTTATTTTCGAAATGTCCCTACTAAGGGCATGTGTATTCATTCAGACATGGAGGTTAGACCAGGAACAGTGCAGGAAGCCAGTGATCGGGGCAGGCTGAGAGGAAGGGTAGATGCCAGTAGCAAGCGAGAGAAGACAATGGATCACCTGGGGCATTGCCCTGCATGGAGGGAGAAAAAAGAGCCCCCACAGGGAGGGGCCAAGGTGGAGACCCTCCTCAGATGTTGGGAATGGAGAATGTAGCTGCCTCAAAGAGGAGCTCTGGCCCTGCCTGCCATCCAGCAAGGCCCAGAGAGCATGGCTGGTTGACCTGTTGTTACAGGTGAGACAGTACCCCAGGGTGGCATCACCCATGGCCCAGCGGGACCATGTGTTCTGAGCTGGGCTGGGGCCTGCTGAGCGCCTCCTTGACCAGCTCAGGCCAAGGACCAAGGACCTATATCTCCTAAGCTCTTCTGAAGCTGCTCAGCCTTCTGGAGTTGGGAGTTCCTCAGATCCAATTAGAGCTCCTTTTGAAACAGTCCTGCGTTCTGTTGGCTGAAGTAAGGTGGAAGTGAGTTTGTTCTGGCTTTGGCCTAGGCAGCTTAGGAGCTCTATGCCCTTAGCCAGCCACCTGTCACCAAGCTGGAGGTCATGTGTGCAGCCCCATGAGGCTGTGAACCCCCTAACGCAGAGGCTGGCAAGGTTGGGCTGGTAGTGTAGAGCCCAAGACCTGCATTTAAATCCCTGTGCACCACTTATAAATTCTGTGACTGTAGGTAAGTGTCTTAACTCTCTGTACCTCAGTTTCTCCACCTGTAAAATGGGGGGATAATATACCTGCCTCACAGGCCAGGATTTGATGATCAATGTGTGGAAAGCCCCTAGCTCAGTGCCTGGTGTGTAAAAAGTGCCCAGGAGTTGGAGGTGATTGTAATTAAGGAAAGACAGTGCCCAACAGGTAGGGCATGGAAGAGCATAGATGCCAACTGCCGCCACCCCACCTTCAAATCCCCCCACACACATAGGCAGGCAGGGAAAGGGAGGAAGGGCACTCTGTGAGGTAGGTTGTCTGCCTGATGAGGCCCCTTGGTCCCCATGATCATAGGTGACTGGGTCATTGTGGAGATGGAGTGGCACCCCCTGGTGGGAGCAGGGGACAGTGCCTCTGAGTGTGCCACTAATGCTGGCCTCTTGCCTCTCCCAGATCTACCTGTCCTGGAAGAGCGGGCCTGGGGAGGTGAAGCACTGGAAGGACATGATCGCCCGTCCCCGGCAGCCTGTGGCCCAGTGGCACCAGCTGAAGGCCTGAGGGGGCCAAAGGAGGCTGAGGGGGCCAAGGGACCGGGTCCCCATCATGCCCTCACCACTTTATGCACAAAGCCCGGCCTGGCCCCCCTGCCATGGGTGAGGGGAGGACCCTGACGGCTTGGCCAGGGAGGGGTCCTGGAAATCATTAGGGCCCCATTTCTAGGAAGAACCAGCCCCATCCTCCACCAGTCCAGCTCTGGGGGAGGGGCTCTGGGAGCCATTTTCCTGCTTTGCCCCTTTCCTTCCTGACTTGCTGATACTAAAGAAGTGGGGGAGGTCATGAGAGCCAGACGGGCAGACAGGCAGATCCCTCCAGAGGCCCGCCAGGTGGGCACAGTCCCCCCGTTTTCTTTAAGGCAGTGCCTGGAGTGGAGAGAGGCTGTCCCCTCCCCAGGACAGGGGAGGCCGAGGTGTTTGGCCCCAGCCTGGCCAGGGGAGGCCCGACCCAGAGCAGTTTCAGGTGCCGGCTGGGCCCTGAATGCCAAGGATAGTATATAGCGCCCTCTGGGGTCCTGGAGCCGCAGCCCTGTGTATTTGTGTTGTGTCCACTGTGTGTATGTGTGTATGTGCACGTGTGCGCGCATGCACATGTGTGTATGGGCGGGGAGCTCACTCCCTGTCCCCTTGGGGCCAGCAGTGCTGAAGATTGTGCAGAGAGGGCAGGGTTTCATGAAGTGAGGCAGGGCTGGAGGCCTGGAGGGGACAGTGCACTGGGCCAGGGGACAGGAGAGAAGCAGGTGAGGGGTGAGTGGAAGGGGTGAGGGAGGGTGGGGTTGGGAAGAGGGGCAGACATGAGCTGGGCTGAGAATTGGGCTGCCTCCAGCTGTTCCCCCTCCTGTCTCCCCTTACCCCCCGGGGCCCCTCTCTGCTCAGAGTTCTCCAGTAGCTCCTTCCCTGGTGATTTCATCTCTTGAACATTGATTCACACCTTTTAGGCACCTACTGTATGGATCACATTCCACCAGGACCCACCTGCTCCCTCCCTTCCAGAGACACAGCCTTATTTATCCCAGACCTCATATCCCAGCCCTGTTGGCCATGTTCTACATGACTCCCAGTTTCTTCCCCTTCCTTGTCTCTCCCTGTCTGTGCAGACCTGCCTGCCCTACCCCCCACCCCCACACACTCCTCCACC